ATGCCTGCATGCCGCCTCGCCTGGCTCGACCATGTTGCTACATTACAGGATAGTAAAAAAAAAAACACACACAACAATTTCTTGGGTGTGATTGGCGAAGTGTTTGAGAAGGTCCCAGAAGAGAGCCGCCTAGACTTTCAAATGGACGTACTTCAATACGTCTATGCTCAATATAAAAATTATAAAAATTGAATTTACGAAATTTAAAAATTTAAATGACATCCAGTTTGATTTCAATTTTGAGAACTTAATATGTAATCTAATTTAATATGAAATCTGATTTTAATTTTGCGAGCTAAATATGTAATCGAATTTAATATGCAATCTCACAGAAAATGCTTGCGATAGCTTCGTTGTTTCTAATCAAACAAAATTGAACATATTTTTAAGAAAATATTCAGGATATTATTCCAAACGCGTGGTTTTCGATGCAAGTTTACGAGGCTTACGCGGTTACGAGGCATTTAAATGAATAACCTGGATATTTTCTTAAAAAATGTACAATTTTGTTTGATTAGAAACAATGAAATTATAGCAAAAACGACGCTGTGTTTTTTGTTTTGCACATAACTGTAAGTTTAATACTTACCTTGAACAAAAGATAATTTTAATGACTTGTGAAATATTCATGCCAATTACGGCCTTGAAAAGAAACACATTCAGGATATTGTGCAAATTTTATGCTTGCTATCATGGTAGCTGTTTGTATTTTGTTGTGAATTAACAAATGCACTGAAATATGTAAATGCAAGATCCTATGGACAAGATCCTGAACAGCCCTATTATTTAAAAGACTAAAAAGTAGACTGTTTGTAACAACTTTTGTTTTATAAATAGGCAATACTTAAGTACCTTAAAAAGAAACATATTACTTAAAAGACTAAGAAGTATATTGTTTGTAATTCACTTTTGTTTTATAAATACGCCATATTTACAGTGGTCGAAAAAATTATAGTCGCACCATATTTGACAAGTTTTAAGATTCTTTTTTAATTTTAGTAACTTTTTTATAAAAATATAGTTAATTCTTTAACAAAGCCCGTGTAAAAAACCTCGTTTTATAAAAAAGTAATCAAAATTAAAAAATAATAATATGTTAAAACTTGTCAAATATAGTGGGGCTATATTTTGTTTGACCACTGTATGTACCTTAAAAAGAAAAAATAATAATTAAAAGACTGAAAGGCATATTGTTTGTAACCACTATACTGTTTAAAACGGTTTTAACATAAAAGACTGAATGAAATATATGTTATGTTAACGCCATACTAACCTTGAACAAAAATTAATTTAAAAACCTGAAAGATGTGATGACATTTAAAACATTGTCAATAAGTGCCCTCATACTGTGAGTTCAAATTTTTGTTTTCTATCTTAAATAATAAAAACAAAGCATATTCAGTGAATTGTAATTATTTAAATTTTATTGTTAAAAAGATGTGTCTTCAGAGCATCCCTTAAATCATAATTATTTGAACTTCCTCGGTTCGATGACACCCTACTTATTGAGGGCAATGGAACTACTTCGTTTCGCCATGAGCCAGCGATGGTGGCATCCTCTTCGTAGCGATCAACAAAATCGCTTGCTACATAGTTTGCACACGAAAGCTTAATAAAATTATGCAAAACAATACAAGCTTTCACTATTTGTTCTGCAGTTTTCGGGGCCATGCATAGCGTCGTTCTCAATATTCTCCATTTGGCAGTGAGTATTCCAAATGCGTTTTCTATAACTCTTCTTGCACGAGAGAGTCTTTTATTGAAATACTCGTGCTCTTCTGGAATACCTCTACCCGGATATGGTCGCATTAAATAACGCCGTAAGGGAAAAGCTGCATCTCCTACTAAATAATGTGGAAATGCCTCGGTTTCTCCTGGCAGAGGCTGATCATGTGGAAGGCCGAGCCTATAATTTTCAATAGCATCTGCCAGTTTTGAAAAGTGGTAGACACCGCCATCGCTTTGACTTCCATATGCTAACGCAGGTAAAGGTATAATTGGCATCACATACGGCCAAAAGCACTATACTATAATTGCCTTTGTAATTATAGTACATCGACCCTGAATTTGCTGGACAGGTAATATTAATGTGCTTTCCGTCGATGGAACCAACGCAGTTGGGCATATTCCACAGCGACTTGAACTCATTGGAAATACGTCCCCATTCCGTTTCTGACGGGGTCGCCACATACAGGTCAGCTAACAGATCCCATATGGTCATACATGTCTCCAACGTAATCTTCCTGAAAGTCGTCAGGCCGATCCTGTGAACTATTGTGTGGAATTGCCGAGTGCCACCGTGAGCCAAATATCTGCAACAAAACAAGAAAACTAGATACATATATGGAAAATTATACGTATACTATTAAGTAAAACCGATGTTCTCTTACATCAGGGTTATAAATAGTCTGCAGCGACTCGATATTGGTGTTCTGATTGAATATTTGGTCAGCGAAGCCTCCAGAAATTCGTGCAGCACATTAAATAACGAAAAGGGCATTCTTAATGTCTTGTTAAACTGCTCCTCATCTGCAGCCAAGTTTCTTAATGAACTTTCAAACAATCCATATTTGTGTCGCTCTAAGTACAATTACCGAACCCAAAATCGGCGCTTCTTTTTTAATCGCAGTTTTAATTTACGCATTTTCGCTAAAATTAGGAAAATTTTAAAACTTGTTCAGCATTTCGAGTCAACATTTTGTACTGCCAAATGAAAATTTATGAAAACCAACGTATCTAGTGGTCGGAACGATAAAAAAGCAAGGTATCTGTAAAAAATATTGTTGTTAGCAACAAAGAATTGTTTAATATAAACTCTTTTACCTAATTGAATATTACGCCTTATAAACACGGGTGGAAGTGGCACAGCCAACTGCAACTTATCGAAAACCAACGAATCTGGTTGCCGGAACGATATAAAAGCAAGGTATCTGTAAGAAATATTGTTGTTAACAACAAAGAATTGTTTAATATAAACTCTTTTACGTCCAGTTGAATATTACGCCTTATAAACACGGGTGGTGAGTGGCACAGCCAAATGCAGCTTCACCAAAACCGTAAAAAATAATGATCTCAGTAACAAATAATTGTTTAATAACATATATTTTAACTAAAATTCACAATTATACCTGCTGGCACAACAAAGAATGGCGGGTATATTTGCGCGCATTAAAAATCAGCTGACTACTATGACAGCGTTCAAAGCTACCATTAGGCCATAAAAGCCTTCAAAGTAAAGCAAAGCAAACTAAAGTAAGCAAAGCAAGCAAAGCAAAGCAAGCAAAGCAAGCGAGCATTGGGCCAATACCTTTAGTTTCGACTTTTCTGGCTAAGGGCCGGTTGTTCAATGTCTGATTAGCACAAAGCGGAGGTAGAAGCTCCGGTTAAGCACAACTACTGCTTTATCGATCACATGTTACATGCATGATGTCGAAATCGTCGATAGTGTAGTGGTAGTGATAACCAGACATTGAACAACCGGGCCTAAGTACCAACTTAAAATTTAGTTTCGGCTGCAGCTGCAACTAAGTCGTAACTAGGAAGAAGTATTTTATCAAATTAAGGGAAAACAGACGAAATATGTAAAAATTAAGTTGGTAGAGGGTGATTTTGATAATATTGAATAATCTCCAATTAAAATTTACAAAGATCGATCCATTTTATTCGGAAGATGAAATTAAATGCGTATTACAATTCGAATAAAGCTAAATCACAAATTTATAATTGAAATAATTTAGATAAATTCTCAAATAATAAGTCAGTTTCACGCTAGTTCTTTTAAAGTAAATTTGTGCATAACATTTAGATATCTACTATTTGTATGTTTCACAGCATGCTTTCGATAAACATCAACTTCACATCACTGCGGTTGTTCTGGCTATTTCACACAATTAACATATTATTTTGCATAATCATGCAATGAAAATAAAAATTACATAAACGGATGATCAAACATTATTTAATAAAAATGTAATTTTTCCAAAATATCGTAAAGAAAAATCGATACATTTTCACACTCATTTTGCTATATTGTAAACTAAGTCGAAACTACTTAGTAGAAGTCTGAAATGCGACTATGAATAGAGGTAAATTTTAAGTTGGTACTTAAATTTAAGTTGCAACTTTGTTAGTTTCGACTTATGCAGCGTTTTTGCTGCATTAAAAATGCAACATTTAGCACTTTCGAACATATGTTTTCGAAGAGCGTTCATGCTATAGCATTTAGCAAATGTACATTTACGCGAGTTCGAAATCGTATGCTTTTGACAAACAGCCGTGTTCCAGTCTCTTATTTAGATGCGTATATATTACGATCAATTCTCACGCAGGAGATAATGTGCAAAAACCCTACTGAAAAGGAAATAAATAAATTTTAAACCAAAAATTCAATACAAAAACTTGTATTGTTTTAACCATAACCGAAAATTTGTTTGTGTATATATTCATTTGTCGGTGCTGTCAATTAAAATTTTCTCACTTAATTAGGAAACAAAACGAACCGAGTTGATCACAAATTGATCCAGATTTCTATCAGCATCAAATCGATGTTGAATTTGCTTAACTTTTCTTTATCCAAATATGTAATGCAAAATAAAAGAAATCTCGATCGGCGATCACTGAAACGTAGCTAGCAACTGTATACTCGAAAAAGCAATGTTGCCACTTTTTCTCTTTAAACCATGTTCGAATCGTGGAAATTTTGGAAGATCACAGGGTTGCTTTTAGCATTTAGATTCTTAATGCAAAAATGGAGTTGCATTTAGTTGCATTTAGGTGACGAATTTTGTATGGATAAATGTACATTTAGAGTAGCATTTAGAGCTAAATGCGCTAAATGTGCCTTTACGCGTAAGCAAAAACAGCCTATTAGTTGCTGGACTATGAATACGCGCCATAGAAATCATGAACCAATTAGAACAGATCTGACCGGTTGAGAAGCAGCCATTTGTAATAGCAAATGCGAAAAAAGTGTGTGACGTCCGTAATTTTGAAGTTTGCTATTTCTGTTTTGCTTCTTTCTTTATGTGTATTTTGTCGGTGGTTTATTTCAGTGATTTTTTAGTGATTTTTAGTGCAAATGTAATTAAAATGAAGTGCTCGGTGATTGGATGCAAAAACACGTACAAAAATAATAAACTGGTTAGCACAAACATGTGCACAACATTGCTTGCATTTTTTCTTTATGCTTCGTCTTCGTATTCTTTCTTTACTTTTCTCAGAAAATAACATGGCGCCGAAATTACAACCGTCAGCCAGAAAATTACTTTTTTCTTTTGCTTCATCTTGTCAGATCTTGTGTAGTTGGATCATGCATAGAAATGGTGTAACTGCCGGGCCGTTTCAAAAACTTGGCGATTAATTCACCACGATTTATTAAAGACACGAACCGATAGTTGCACCCTCGAACTTTTACATGTTCTTTTGCATATCTAAACAAATGATTATTATTGGAATAAGGGCCGGTTGTTCAATGTCTGGTTATCACTACTTGCCGGTTAAACATCATTATCGACGATTTCGACATCATGCATATAACATGTGATCGATGAAGCAGTCGTTGTATCTAACCGGAGCTTCTACCTCCGATTTGTGCTAATCAGACATTGAACAACCGGCCCTAAGTCGAATCTTGAGTTGCCATTTTAGTAGTCATAACTTTATTTAAATAACCATATTGAGCAGAATAAATGTATTTGTTTATACTATTCTTCAAAGATTTAATTATTGTATGTATAAAAAAATTAAAAACTACAGTAAATGTTTAAAAATAACCAAAATGGGAAGGATCTTAACAACTTCACAGGCAAGAAAATAATAACCAAAATTGGTTAAAAGTAACCAAAACGGCAACACTGCTAGCAAGTAAACAGCTGATCGGTGTATTTGACTATTGAAAATATTTCTCGCCAAAACAAAAAGAGGGTACGACCGAGAGAGAGCTGCTAGTTTCTGCTAGTTTTTAGGGTTAAGAAACTGTTTCCAGCAGAAATTAGTGATAATTTGTGATAATTATCTGTTAATAAACAAAGGTTATACCTTTTGAGTGGTGCCGGATTTCCAAAATATCTTATTTTATGTCCCCACTAGACACCCAACCAACTTTAGCACCTCATTAGTTGGGGTGTTCACAGTTCGTTCCAAATAGTTGGGGTGTTCAGAGTTCGTTCCAAATAGTGTCTGAAAATGTAGACGTCTACATTTTGAGACACCTTTAGCATCAAACTGTGAGCACCCCTTTCTAGCAGTCGTCGCAAAATCGTCTCAAAACTTTGCTGGTGTTGCCACACAGTTCTTCTTTGCGTGCATTTTTTATATGTCGCCTTTCGATTTTGTTTCTGAAAAGTTGTAGTTATTTAACTTATTTACCAATTCCTAATATTTGTTATTTCTTTTTCTTGATTTGTTTCTTTTCATCAGAAATTGCGCTCAAATTAAATGCAAATACAGAAAAC